AAACTTATTACATATTCACACACACGCTATCGTATGTATTCACATATACAATGAAAATAAACGTTATATTTATATATATCACAGGCATGGATAAACGTATTAGAATTATATATAAACTGTCACGAAACAGCAATACAGGTGCAACATAGTTTGAAAAGGAGAAAATCTTCTCCAGATTTGTGCACATATTTCAACCTAGTTAACCATTGCTATAACTGAATTCGACGATGTTGACGTGCTGTCAACAAATATAGACTGTGATATATACAAAACGTCAAAGTCGACTCCCCTAGACACACCATCTAGTAGAAAGCACATTCCGACTGAGATCCAACCGAGTTGTGACTAATAATTTGCTGTGTGTTCTTTTGTGAAAGGTCTTGTAGTTAATAAAGACGGTGCTGCAAATACTGAACATGACATTTTAATGGCGGCTCGTGGCAACTTTTTTGTTCTTAACACAAATGACTTCATACCGTGTATTTATAACTGAACAGACAACGATAAAATGTAATCCACTTGTTAATCATATACATAAGCAGGCTTTCTTATTCACCCGCATACACGGTGAAAATAAACATGAATATTCTTACATGGATGAACAGATTACAAATGTACATATTCTTTCATAAGGTAGCATTTCTGTTGCGAGATCTGATAGTTTCTACAAGAGAAAATCTACTCTTAGTTAGTGCAAATATTCCCACCTGGTCAATCATTGCTATATAACTGGTCAGTGGAATTTATATTCTGTGAAAGATTGTTTGTCTACGTCCGTACGTCGGTTTTTATGAAAAAATCAAACCTTTTTTCACCCTGCATGTATCGTACAATACAAAACTCGATGCCAACTTTGTAAATCTATGATTTTCATGCTTTAATAGTAAGCTTTCCTTTTGGCTAAAATTTGTGGTGTTACATCTACAATGTTCCATTTATTGTTCAAAAGGAAATGCTCCATTAGCCATGGTTTCTTAGCTTTTGTAGAGACAGAGAAGTGTTTTCATTTGACGTCAAAGCACCCAAGCTGGTTGTTTACGTCAAGGTGCCCATATGCTCAACAGAAGAACATGAGCTCAAAATGGGACTTTCTACCAACATGGCAACCAATGAAAACACCTAAAATTATTTGTGTACATCTGTCGCATCGTGCCGTTTTAAATAATAGTCTCTCTTAAGGTACTATTTATGTATTTTGACATTGAATTAAAGGAGTCTTTGCAACACGCTTAACATGTTTAGAAAGTGTAGCAATAAAATGAGCCTGTAGTGAAGGTACATTTCCCACTTCCCATTCTTTGAACAGGTTCATTTTAATGCTATATCTTTTACTACAGGTTTCTTTTATGGTTTATTTTACTTTTACTACAGATTTTTAAAAAATCTTTCTACAGGTCCATTTTATCGCTACAACTCTTACTACAGGTTCATTTTATCACTACAACTCTTACTACAGGTTCATTTTATCACTACAACTCTTCCTACAGGTTCATTTTATCACTACAACTCTTACTACAGGTTCATTTTATCACTACAACTCTTACTACAGGTTCATTTTATCACTACAACTCTTCCTACAGGTTCATTTTATCACTACAACTCTTACTACAGGTTCATTTTATCACTACAATTCTTACTACAGGTTCATTTTATCACTACAACTCTTACTACAGGTTCATTTTATCACTACAACTCTTACTACAGGTTCATTTTATCACTACAACTCTTCCTACAGGTTCATTTTATCACTACAACTCTTCCTACAGGTCTATTTTATTGCTTCAACACTTACTACAGATTCATTTTATTGCTACAACTTTTACTCCAGGTTAAGCAGGTTGCAAAGGCTCCTTTAATTGACTATCAGAACACCTACGATTGCAAACCAATGATGCGACAAATAGACAATATAACTTTACAACCAAGCAGCCATGTATAATGGAGAATGTTCCGCTTTGAACAATAAATGAAGCATTGTAGATGTAACATCTCAAATCTTAGTCGAAATGAAAAGCTTGCATTATTAAAGGATGAAAACCTTAAGTTTACAAAGTTTGCATCAAGTTTTGTATATTGTACTGTACCGGATGAAAAAGAGGTATAATTTTCTTAATAAAAACGCGATATTGACAAAGAATTATCCATACAATACGAAATTCTACGACTGAACTTTGCTTCATTGAGTAGAGTGCTTTTGTTTGCCATCTATGAAGTATATTTTTTTATCAATTAGCACACGATGGCGACATTTACTTCAAGTCTGAAGATGCTCTTCTCAAAGACATAAAGAATAAGAAAAGTTCTTTCATGCATGTTTAAACAAAACAATACGATATGATATTTGCATTGTGCATCCAATCATGTCTGCCAGGCAAGATTAAAACACAGCAAAATTAGACCATTTCTTGGCGAATAAGTACATTGAGTTTTTCAGAAAAAGTGAAAGCTTCCTGTTGCGTTTGCTAGATAAAATTGCCAAAGAAATGTTTACTCAAAATACTGCGATTTTAACGGGAACCAAGTGGAAGCAGATGGAAACCTCTTAAGATACTATTTATGTGTTTTGACAGTGAATTCAAAGAGTCCTTCCAACACGCCTAACATGTTTAGAAAGTGTAGCAATAAAATGAGCCTGTAGTGAAAGTACATTCCCTACCTATCATTCTTTCTATACAGGTTCATTTTACTGCTATAACTCCTCCTACTACAGGTTCATTTTATTGCTACAACTCTTAAAACAGGTTTATTTTATGGAAACAACTCTTACTACAGGATTAGGATTTGTCGTGTTTGTATTCTTATTGTTAGAATTGAATTGATAAAGCTTTTTATCTTGAATACGTTGTGATTGTTCAGTTTCTTTGAATTTTCGTAGTCAGATGTGTTTTTTTAGGTGAATGAAATGGATCTTGGTGATGAGCGAAGCAATGTTGGCATGTGCTGTTTTTAGCTGTGCGGATAGGGTTTGTATTGTCGCTTGAATGTTTGGCGCTTATTTCGTCTTGTAATAATTTGTTCTGCCATTGGCGATAGGCGCTGGAGTTCCGTAAACGACCTTGAAAGGTTTATTTTATGACTACAACTCTTACTACAGGTTCATTTTTATGACTACAACTCTTAGTAAAGTTCATTTTATTGCTTCAACTCTTACTACAGGTCCATTTTATCGCTACAACTCTTACTACAGGTTCATTTTATCGCTTCAACACTTACTACAGATTCATTTTATTGCTACAACTTCTACTGCAAGTTAAGCATGTAGCAAAGGCTCCTTTAATTGACTGTCAGAACACCTATAATTAAAAACCAATGATGCGACAAAAAGACAATAAAACTTTACAACCAAGCAGCCATGTATAATGGAAATGTTCCGCTTTGAACAATAAATGAAGCATTGTAGATGTAACATAGCAAATCTTAGTCGAAATGAAAAGCTTGCATTATTAAAGGATGAAAAACTTAAGTTTACAAAGTTTGCATCAAGTTTTGTATATTGTACTGTACCGGATGAAAAAGAGGTATAATTTTCTTAATAAAAACGCGATATTGACAAAGAATTATCCATACAATACGAAATTCTACGACTGAACTTTGCTTCATTGTGTAGAGTGCTTTTGTTTGCCATCTATGAAGTATATTTGTTTATCAATTAACACACGATGGCAACATTTACTTCAAGTCTCAAGATGCTCTTCTCAAAGACATAAAGAATAAGAAAAGTTCTTTCATGCATGTTTAAACAAAACAATACGAACTGATATTTGCATTGTGCATCCAATCACGTCTGCCAGGCAAGATTAAAACACAGCAAAATTAGACCGTTTCTTGGCGAATAAGTACATTGAATTTTTCAGAAAACGTGAAAGCTTCCTGTTGCGTTTGCTAGATAAAATTGCCAAAGAAATGTTTACTCGAAATACCGCAATTTTCACGGGAACCAATTGGGAGCAGGTGGGAACGTCTGTTGAAACTCACAAATAAAGCGTGTAAAAATTCACAACAGCTTGTCAAGTTTTTATTTATAAAAATAACAATGGATGAAATTAAGTTCGAAGTTTCTGACGACGATAGCAACAGATTATCTTTAAATAATTACCGCTCACGTATTCATACATTTTTATTTATCTTTTACTTTCAAACTGACAGTTACATTTTAAGTATATATATTAATGAATAGCTTTCAATATTATAAAAATTATGTACTTAAGAAGAAAGGTATTATGTGAACAAGTATAGCGAACGCGGCGCTGTATAAACCAGATAGCCCATATAGTTCCATTGAGCTACGAATACTAATCATAAAAAAGACTTTGTAGACAAGCTATTTTTTCGAGCGAATTTTAAAAAGGCAAGGATTTCATTTAATTCGTATGAGATTATAAATAGCATTCAATTTTATGAAAAATAAATGTTTGCCTAAAAAATACATTAACGTATTTACATTATGTTGCATTTAATTTATCTACTGAAAGTACGTACTTTAACGTTTTAAGAAATAATATTGTGCTTGTTTTAGAAGTCAATTATGCAGTGAACGCCAATCAAAAGTAAAACGTGTTACGTCAACTTGCCCGAGGAGAGAGGGGGGAGGGGGAGCGAGTCATAAAATCATTCGTGTTTGCAAATAGTTTGCCTTCGTTTTTGGTCAAAATGCCAAAGAAATTCAACTTTACCATTAGCTTACAACAAAATACTTCCAACCTACCCTTAAACTTCTTATCATAGAAAGATTCTCAAATAGTTAAAAATCTGCAAAGAACTATGCAGCCCAATTTGGTCATCATGGTCATCAACTGTAGACTTAATAGTTGGAATCTAATGTGAAAAAATACAGCTTGAAGGCAATAAATAACAAGAGAACACCCAAACATGACGCTTACTGATGGAGTTCGGCAAGATTCTCGCTTGGCAACAATATTACATACGTCCTTACCCCACCCCCCCGTGGAAAAAATATTTACATAGCTGTCAGTGAGTTGTCTATCAAAATAGCACTTAATTAACGCTAAAAGCTTGCCACAATTAAGGCCGTTAGTAAAAGACAAGAACGCAAGACTTTGAGGACATAGATAACAGAGTGTCATAGCGGAATGCCACGCTAGAGCACGAAGACATCGCAAGGATACGAGGAACGAACTTCAAAAAGTAAGTTTACATTCGTCGACTTGCTTGAAAAACCCAGTTACGATTTTCTTTAACAGTTACATGACTTATTACCATGAGAAATCTTGAGGACGATAAGAATTACAATCAGTTGTTGCAGGGCTTATTGTAATCTAGAATAGATAAATTAGCACCGCGAGATATGTAATGGAGAGATCAAAAATGATGATAGAGGAAAGGCATCGACTTGCACGCACGAGTTTCAGAACATACAACAGTTGTTCTCTCACACCTTCGTTGTTTCATGTCTCTAAGCAGTGGCGGATTATTAATTACGAGGCCTGTAGGCTGAGACAAAGTTGCTGGACTTTAAGTCGGATGTCTATTCCCCTTTCTCTAAGTTCACTCTCTTGATGACATTTGGGTTTATTACGCTCCTTTCCGTCTTTACATTTCCCAGCTTGTTTTTGTAGCTCATAGCATCAACAATAAGGAATAAATTTAAAGTTCAAACTGAGAAAAGCCACTGCTTCGTGAATTATCTGATTATCGTGCATTTGAACAACACATCGCAAGGTTTTTAACAGCATAAATGGTCTAAATTAAGAACATATAACTGGTACGGAATGGCAAAAACTAAAAACTAATTATGTCTAGATGCAACGGCTTCAGCTCATTAGGCCTACTGAGTGATCATAACCTAGAAGAGTTAGAATGTTAAGGAAAAATTATCGTTGAGCCGCTCTCTCGCAGTAAATGCTTGCGACGAACGGAAAATTATAAAGAGAATCGTGTTCTTTAAACTTCTTTACGCGACAGTGTTTTGTGAGAATTGAACTTTATCTCAGCGATAATCATTTCGTACCATTTCAAGATTTTTAAAACAAACCAACGGCATGCCATATAACTTCGTGTCCTATTACACGAAATATACTTTTTCTCTCCTTTCCATAGGAAAAATTCAAAAGAACATGTCAAACAAAAAACAAAGACGTTCTCCGCAGTGCGCAAGGTGTCGATGTCACAACGTTTTTGTCAGCGTGCGTGGTCACAAGCGACGATGTCAATGGAAGAACTGCACATGCGCAAAATGTTTATTGGTATCCGAGAAACGTCGTGTAACCGCTGTACGCGTTGCTATCTTAAGACGAGAAAGAAAGCAAAGGATACTGCAACGGATGGCACCACCCCAAGAATATTACGCCGGGTTACATCACCCGAACCCGTGGGGAATGATGGGACGACAACAGTTTTCGTTTAACGCACCGCGTTTTCCTGGTAACTAGTCTCCCCCTTGTGCGACTTGTTATTTTAGAGCTTATGATGTTTATTTTATGTTTGTAGTGCAAGATGAAATGTTCCTTCGCCACCATCACTTCTACGATCACATGTATCGCAGACATTACCGGGGATTGTACTCCCATCATCATCACGAGAGTTTTCCAAGCCAAGATTCAACGCGTAGAGTAGGCAATGCCGGCCATGCAGACGAAGTTAGCGCTAGGGGTATTTCCCAAAATCTTCGCAACTTTATGAACGAGTACGACAGCTTGATGCAAAAACCAAACAACAACGAATCGTCTGGCAACAAGATGACGTCGTCAGTTTGCAACAAAGTTTCCTTACCATCACGTGACACCTTTCCTGACCTTTACGGCTCTGAGGTGCGAAACATCCAAAGCCAATTAGAAATGTCCAGACTGCCACTTGAGCATGCAAGATTTCGTGGACAAAGATTTTCCCCAAACGATCCTAGAGGTTTACCAGTGATCATAAATGCTCCACATACCATGGTAAATTATACAAATCCAATCGCAAACAAGTGCTCTTGTGGAAAGAACGAATAGCGCATGCGCAGTTTTCTATCTGGATTTACCCGGAGTAATTTTTCCATAGACAACCTCACCTTGTTTGAACAATGAACACCTCGCTGGTATTGAGTAATATTTGAGTAATTTTTGATAGAATAATTGTTAGACAAACGATTTATATAATGTTTTAATACTGTATGGCCGTAGTTTTTAGACTATTTCGAAAGCCATTATAAAAAAAAGATTAGCAGACTCAAAAAAATGAGTCTTGTAGAAATCTGGAATAGACAATTCGTGAAAAAAAGACTGCGTTTAATTTACCCGTATCGAGACCTATTTATGCGTTTTAGATACATAAAGCAAATAAGCATTTCAAATAATGCTTAACTAGTGCTAAATATAAGACCAGTCTTGCTGTCATGTACGGTTTACGTCATTAAAAGAAATTATATCGCTATGACGTCAATGTAATGGGTTTTACGTAATATTTACAATACGAAATATCAATGAGTCGAGTCGAGAGACGATTGTTTGCAGGAATGTTTAAGTACATCGTTGTTCGTCAAAGTTAGGGCAGTTCAACGACCAAAAGACATCCTCGAAGGCCATTTCGGGCTTGATTTAAGAAATTTCATGTAAGTATTCGATGTTGGGGAATGTTTTGAAGGTAAGTACGATATTGAAACGCCATTTCCTTTCGTATGAACGCTTGCTCACGTACGTACAAATGTATGCACAATGCTGTTGTATCGAAAATTTGAGGTTTCAATTTCAATGTGCGGAACAAGCATCATTATACGAATGAGCAAGATAACACGTTCAGGATAAATCTAGTGTTTAGTCGTGAGTAATATGAATGGAAATCATGAAGGTCGATGAAGATATTGCCAAACAGTAAACATCGGATTGATGGCCATGAATGTACAACGCTTTGCGTGTATGTGTTGTTTGATTTTCCTGTATACGTAAGAAATACATAATATGGATGAGTACAAGCGGGTCGAGACAAATGATCGCGATGGAAATCGCGAGAGATATAAAACTGTATATAGTCTGTGCTTGCGGGAAAGAGCCGTTTCACTTTTGTACACTGTATAGCCATGTTCAAATGCATTTTAACGCTACATGCAGCCGTTTCCTAGAAATAAAACGTAGTTATGTATTAGTACATCCTACAAAGAGGAACCTCTTGCTGATGGGATTTAAAATATTCCTTCAGGAATCCACAACATCGGAGAAGATACATATAACAAAGAATGAGTGAGTCAAACCAAAACATTTCCACCGACATTGCCGACACCATGGCCGATACCGATGAATTGTCCGCCAATGATCCGCAGAATCACCGCATACCGAAATGCGCCCGCTGTCGTACACACGGTACGGTGTCGTCTTTGAAAGGGCACAAACATAAGTGTCCGTGGCGGGATTGCGCATGCAGCAAGTGCAAGGTAATCACGGCCCGTCAGCAAATCACAGCAGCCAGAGTGGCGTTGCTAAGACAACAACGAAAAGTTTACCAAGACAGTGGGGTTGATGCAGGTGGAGAGTGGACGGATGAAAAGACAGCAATGGAGACACGACCGTCCATGGTTTCGGTGAACACTACACGAACTCATGAAAATGCCAACACAAACGGAAAACAAGGTAAACAATGTTTGAACTCGTTACGTGGACTTGCTTTCGTTCATGACCAAATTCAAAGAGACAGCACAATAAGTATTTTTAAAAAATATGAACGAGATTTCTTTTGACGCAGTTTCTTTTCCATCCTCGTCCGTGTTCTTCTTTCATTGCGCGTTCATTTTGGGTTTTTTTTTCGAACTCACCATAGAAATGTTTTGTGTAGGTTTTAAAACAGTCATTTTGCTAGAAAAATCTGCCTGCTGGCTGAGCAAAACGCCACTTGCTTGTCTTCGAACAAGAACACTGCGCTTGCTCTATGAACAACGTCACTCATTTTACACACATCCAACTGAAAAACACTGCGCTTGCTCTATGAACAACGTCACTCATTTTACACACATCCAACTATTTATTTAAATTAGAAACGCCAGTTTCCCCCGTGCAAGAACCGAGCTCGTCTGATGACGTCTGCAGGCCACATCGCCTATCTGAAGAAGATACATCATTTCGCGCGATAATCAAAACGGAGCCTGACGACAAGCCTGCGGATGAAAACGATCTTGGACCGAGTCCAGACTCGACCCCAATTCCTCGCCAGCCGAATCTCAAGCGCTCGTATAGTGTCGACTCTCCTTTTTTCTCTGCCGAGACTGGAAAGTGGAATAGAAATTCAAAAAGGTTAAAACAGATCCTTTGGACGTAATGTGCAAAGCCTTTCCATGTCATGGACGCGATGTACTCGAGAGGATACTACAGGGATGTGGGGGGAATGTGGTGCAAGCAATAGAATGTGTTTTAGAGAACGAAGCACCTCATATTTTACAGGCTCCTATACCCCTCTTTCCTAGTCCAAACATTCGACCTCCAATCTTCCCAGGCTACACAGCTCATGGTACAACCTTACAAGGCCCGGGCGAATATGTAAGAGAGGACCACATGCCAATGTATACCCAGCGATCCAAATTGAACCCGCAAGCACTGTTGCCATACGCCACATTGAGGGAAGACGAGTCGCGTAAGGAACGCCCCGGATCGAGATCTGATGGGACGAAAATCTATTGCACGAATTGCGGGCAAAAATTTCGAGAAAATGATAACTTTTGTGGAAATTGTGGACAGAAGATTTAGGAAGGAACTGATAAATCTAGGTTTTACAGAAATGTCATTTTGCACTTGTTGTAGGTATTGGTCTCGATGGATTTGTTAATAATGCAAATTAATCATAATAAATTATTTTAAATCATAATAAATAATAAAGTAGATGAGAATAGTAATAGCAAGGAAGAGATTATAGACTGACGTACTTTTCGACGTGAAGCATTTTTGAATTTTTTAAAGCATTTGTATTAAATACGTAGCTAAGATAATGGCAGTTAACATTTATTACGTTTTGTAGTTAATAAAATGTTATGAAGGTAGCTGTGTAGTCGTAGCGATGAAACTTCCCTACAGCGTATATACTCGCAAAAGAAATGAATAATGATGTACGAAATTGAACCGAAATTTGTATACCCCCGCATTCTAAAAGTTCGCTCACACTTCACATTAATTCAGTGCGACATAAATATCGCGCTCTATCTTATCAACGGAAAAGGCATTTCGCGAGAAATGACAAGATTTTTGCTGAAGTTTTTCAAATCGAGCAATCAGTACAGCAAAAATGCCGCCTTCGAAGAATTATGTAGTGATTTTGAATACCCAATCAATGAGTGTGAGCTTTTAGAATACGGGCGATAGAACCAACGCTTGTATTCTAAAAACTTCATTCACACTCACTGAGTACGACCGTGGGCGGCCCGAAAATCACTTAGTTTAAACAAACGATAACTCTCCCTATTCCATCGTAACAGACCGCGCGCCGCAAACTCTGTATTAATTAATTGCATAAATAGAAAATAAATATATAATAAATAAATATAACAATTTATAATATAATAAATATGTAATTTATACAATAAATACAAAGTTTGCGGCGCACGGTCTCTAACGGTGGAATGGGGAGAGTTCGTTTAAACTATTAAGTTAGCTAAGTGATTTTTTGGGCCCGCCTATGATGCAACACATTAATCGCGCTCCATTAACCGATGGCGAACTTTTTTTGTCGATGTCAAAATTTTTGCTTCAATATTTCAAATCAATCGATGGAGTGAAAACACCATCTTCGTGTAACTTCGAGCAGGATTCAGAAGTAAGATATCGTGTAAAAAATTTTCTGGAAAGTATTAAAGTGAACGATTCGAACCCGGGAGTATCGTTACATGTTTGTAAATGTAGATCGTCCAGGTTAGTAGAGTCCTGAGAAGGACTGTTTTTGTTGTTGTCGACTGACGTTTCGACAACCTTGACTCTGAAGATGACTGCCGCTAAGGTTGTCAAAACGTCAGTCAACATCAACAACAGTCCTTCTCAGGATTCTTCTGACCTGGACGATCTACAAACTAGAAAGTATCAATAAGAGTTATAGCCTTTATTAAATTTAAAAAATAACAAAATGATAACACAAGTATTCGAGGCTCGTTCAAACGCAAATCGCCAAAATCGTAGCTACTGACAAAAAAAAACAGTAAGCATTAGCTATGTACTCGTTCAAAAAATCATGGCTCCGGGACATGTGATGAGTCACGTGTCAAAATCTCGAGTTTTAAACTATTTAAACGTGCTGAAGTTCGCGCGAAGTCGAAGTTTGCTTTCTACAAAGAACTCTGCAACTTTTTAACTTTCGCAGAGTAAAAAGCAAGGAAGTTCAAAATTGCTAACATTGTACTCCGTTACTTAGAAGTAAAAACAACTTTTTTCATTTAAGTAAAGTTACGAAGTGAATTTATTTCGTTATTGATAAACACTGGTTATGAGCTGATTTTTAAACTACACTCAGTGAGTAAACGCGAGCTTTTAAATAAGCAGGCGCAAAGCCTATGGACTGTGTTCCAGTTGTAACAAATATGTGGTCCTCGTAAGCTCCTTATTTAACAATTGCGAAAGAATCTCGGTGTTATTATTCAATAGAAATACAAACAAAGAGTTAATTGCTTCGAAGAAACTAAGCAAAGTGAAAGTGTATCTTCCGCTTTTTACTTCATGATTCATTTCACCAGAGAATTGCATGAAAATGGCGCTGACATCGTGTGGCATTGTGTAATTCTTTCAAAAAAAAAGAAATAATGAAATACATCTCTTAAAATGCCCGAACGGAAAGCCGTAACACGTAAAAGTTTAAATCTTATTATATGATTTGAAGAAATATTTCCCTTGAGCAAAATCCACCAATAGTGAAACTAGCTACATAAGCTTCCCGGGGCACGGAGAGCCTATTTGCTCCGCGTGTACCGAGAAAAAGTCTTGCTTCCCAGAAACTAGCTAACTTCTAACGAAGTGAACAAGGAAGTTCAAACAAAATTCGTGGTAAACATGTCATAAAACACGCTTACTTTTACATCAAATAAATCTAGCACATGACGGAGCGAATGCAGACTGAGGCGATAGGCAATTAGGAGTAGACCTTCGAAAGTACGACAAGAATAAGTTAGAGGTAAGAATTATCGGCGTTTAAAGTTTTTTTCTGAATGCTATTTTCAATGTTGAAAAGATCGTGCGACGGTGTTGCAAACGTCAAGCACTATACAAATAATGTATTACTGAATCATAATTGCAACGCATTTGCTACCCCTGAACAGTCTTCAATAAAACCATTCGTTGTACAGTTTAATGTCACAAATTCACCACGAGATGTTTCTTTCAAAACCAACGAAAAATGCTTTGCAAAGGACTTGTAGCTAGCTGTACGACGTGGGCTGTGCCGAAATTAGAAACGTTTTGAATTTTGCTAGCTTAACCTTTACGCGGTTGCTTTTAGCGCACAATCTAACCGCAAAACCTTGAAACGCTTCAGCGAAAACGTGATTTGGAAAAGTAACTCCTTTTCTCACGGGCAATTATTGAAACTGAATTATAGCTTCTCATTCGAGGCACTTCGATGTCGTACATTGTACCTTGAGATAAAACAGTTACTTGGTTGTGTGACCTGTAATAACTAAAGCTCTCTTCAGCAAGATGTAAATCAGGGATTTTTCCTTTACATCATGTTGTTTCATGCATTTCCGGATGAAAACCCGACATATCTAGTTTTCCTCGTATACGTTCAGTGCACGTGTACAATTTGAGCACGAGCATCGTAAATATTATACAATCACTTGTTGCATTAATCCTTAAATAACTTGTTATAATCGTAATTGCTGGGTCTGCTTTGTAAAAGCTCGCTGACGCGATTTGCTTTAGGTCGAGAAATTTTTTGGTTTTACTCGCTGAATCAAAAGTAGGCATGAGATGCCGCGATTGGGACTAAATATTCGAGACGGATCGGCAAATTTGAAGTGTACGTAACTGCAAAAAGACAACGCAAAACCGCAATTTTTTCTCTAAAAACATCAAATTTTGATTACGTAGCATATGACATCATGGACTTACTGGTTCAAGTTGACCTTTGACCTTTCCTTCCTCCGCAATCGGCGTCAGGTGACTTCCTCCACAATAAACCGCAAACTAAAGAAAATATGTTGATGTCAATTGACAAACGCATTTTTTTTTCAAACAAATATTTCGAACGAAAAATTCATTAGTATAGTAATATATATTCATTCGACAGCTACATTATGATGTTTCATGGCAAGCGTAAAAGTCTTCTGAACGCTTTGAGGCAAATTATCATATCCAGGAGGGAGTTCTGGTACATTGTCAATATTACGAGCTTATGAAGTAATAAAACCGTCTAACGCCGTAGCCAAATAATTGTGGTTTTTTGCCCCCAACAGCTTATAATTAGCATCTTTCCTCTAAGTTTTCCGCAAGTTTTCTACAAAACGTCTGATACCCGATGAAATTTGATGGGGGAGGATTGATAGGCAGCAATAGCAGCAATTATTAGGTATAAGTTGGACATCCTTCATTTGTAAGGAAAGGTACTTAAAAACAATAATATTTCCGGCCTTCGATCTCAGTCTTACAATCTTTTCAAACACAGCAAAACCTTAAAAGGAGAAGCAATTTTTTTCGTCTGCACTCCCACAAAACAGATAGAACAAACACAAACAACTCGATTCCTGAGGCCGGAAGTCGCATTGCAAAAAAACATAAACAGGCTCTTGAAAACAGGACATGACAGTTGTCATAAAAGCTGGACTAATTGACGTCATAAAATAGTTTGCACATCATATAAGTAGACGAAGGTAAAAGCGCAACAAGTCAACAGTTGACGCACAATCAAGCAAATTAACGACGAGTGGAGGCTTATCTGAACCACAGGACACGGCATAGAGTTGAAGGTTAGCAATTTATTATACTTCTTTGATAAATTTAGAAGAAACAATTGGTATATATTTAATATTTCATTTTCAAATTGGGATGCTATGTTTACTTAGGTTAAAACACGCGGATTTGAGATAACGATCATTGTTACAGTAAACTTCTTGGACTCGACTACAATACCATAATAAGAATATTTTACTTGTTGGACAACACAACGATACTTAACATACACAAATAGCCCAAACTCTTTTTGCAATTTTGGACACTTACTTTACAGACGGTATTGTTTCACAGACTAGCCATCTTCAATATACATCAAATACATTTTCTACTAAAATTCTTTCGCTGTTGCACCATCATAAACAAGCATTAATTAAAACCGCTAATAACAATCTATTGACGTCATTCTCCTAACTGCGTGGGCGCGTTTAAACATTGTTTACTCGTCAATCTTGTTTGTATGAACAGTGATCAGTTTCAATTTTAGTTTGCGATGAAATGGATGACGGCCAGTACATAGCACGTCATATTTTCGTTATTAAACAGTTCTACCTTAAAATATACAAATTATTAAATAGTTTAATTTGTTTATTTATAGTCTGTTAGTCTGCTACACGGCCTTAACATCTTTGTTATTACATATCCTATTTAATTATGCGTTATTATACAACATAGAAACGTTATTACACAACATAGACACGTTATTATACACCTTACCTCTTCATAGTTATTCATGTTGCTCAATCATATATTTGTTATTACACAGAGTCGTCCTATGATACAGAGCTTATTACATAACATTATTTCATGCATACTCATCCTTTTCGGTCATATATAGTTTATTACACATTTCGCAATTTAAATTTATTTTCACAGCTTTCACTTCTAAATGTAATTCAAGCTAGGTACAACCATTGAAAATGCCTACAATCTCTCTTTATTCATCCAAGAACAAGTTATTTCATATTTTGCTTATCCTAAATTGGCTACAAATGAAACGCCATCAATTTATACGTAATCTAAGGTCGAGTACGCCTATTCATCAAACCCAGAATCATACCTGTATATCGTGCTTAATAGCACGGCGAACAACAAAAGTTGCAAAACTGCTATTACATAGCGCGCGCGTATCATGCCGTAAAAACTGCTGTACAAATGGTATCGACTGCTCACATCGGTAAGAATTTTTGGAACATTTTAGATTTCGGGATACGCATGCCTTGCATAAATGCAGAAAAAAAGGGAAAAGAGATCTCTAAACACTCGGATATTGGTGTAACCTTTCAGCCCATCACAAGTTCATCGAGAATAATTAAAACGAGCAGCATTACCTCGCGACTAGACACTTCAAGTACTTTCAGTGGGGGTGAAACTTAACATTATTTGCATACCATGCGAGTGCCAAGAAAGCAACGAAGAAAGCGCCGATTAACTGAACTGCATTTTCATGAACTTTTTACGCATTGACCAAACATCATTCGAGCATCGTTCCAAATTCGTAAACTTTCAAGCAGTTTTAACTTTTCATCCTAGTTCCCTTCTCTACCGCAGAACGTGCGTTATTACACGCACAGAGACACACTTTAACACTTCATATTAAGCATTTACGGAAAACCGCTGTGAAGTATGTACGTACGTACTGCCGAAGAGGGCTCTTTGTCTGAAGAGTTACAAAACACAAATATTCTATGTAAATTAGAACAAAAATTCACGAAGAACGCCCTGTAGTTTTCGAGAAAGATCCAATTTTTCAGTTAGGGAATCGCAAATCAGTCTTGGTGTTTTTGTAGTGACGTTTAGAATGTAATTTAAAGGACTCGATCAACTGGGATGATGTCATTACGTAAAACACAAGGTGATTAAATCATAGGGGAGATTAAAGGACAAACGTTGTCAATTTCGGACTTCGCATACGTTAGTATCAAGTTACAGTTGTGTAAATTTTTATCGAAAATATTTTGATAACAAATAACTCATCATCTTTCGTCATACTGATCGAGCGTGTCGTTCACATTTCACCGATGCACAATTCCAGTCGACGTAAAATGTGTCTTTAAGCATTTCATCGTGTATGTCAAAACCATTTCCTTTGCTCTCACTTCAAATTCGTTAGTTCCCCATACATTTTTCAACGTTCTACGGTCGAGGGCACAAATCATACAACAGCCGCGTGTATGGCAAATTTCAAAAGTTTTCCTGTAATTACATGAAATAAACAGCAATTACTCTCATCGAAAGGAACAAAAAGCTCGCCTCGGAATTCGTAATGGCGCCTTCGAACGTCACTATGACGCAAAGAATGACGTAGCAAGGACATCCACACTCTTTTTTTATCTTGCATAGAAATGTATACTGTGCAAAACAACCGTCTTTCAGACAATGTAAAATATACTTGGCTTCGTAAATTGCCATTGATTTTTTTTCTGGAAGATACCAAGTATTATTGCGAGCGAAACATGTGGACAAATTTCGAACGAAGGTTCTCGATTACAAGTTTATAGTAAAAAAAACGAAAGCTGCTTAGCGTGGACGATAAAGCCTTTTAAACTTTTCATATGTGTCGGAAGAAGACGTTGACATAAAGATATTTTGATATTTGTGAAGGCGACATCGTCATTTGAAAGGTACGGTGTATAAGACACACAAAATTGCTTCGAAGCAAACGTCAAAGGATCAGTATTGAATGCATATAAAATATATAAAAACAAAATTTGTGGACATATTACATACACCAAGGAAGAGCTTGTCTTAAAATATCCGTGTCCATTGGCTTTCAAGTTTTAAATCGTGTCGTTTTTTCTCTGCCTTAATAAAAACGCCGTAACAGTATCATGTATTTTATATTACAATATGTTATGTCAAAGTAAATAGTAAATTCTGATACATAAAGGAGACAGGTTTTGTGAATAAAGCATGACGACAATGATAATGAAGATAGTTGAAACAAGATGCAATTTGTGCATTATTATTTTTTTGGCTACCTCCTCCGCATTCCACATATCTTACATGCTGTAACATTTTTCAAACATCAAAATGTATTTCACGAGTTCGTTGATATTCATATTACATAATATATTAAATATATTATACGTTCATTAAGAAATATCTTGTTCATAAAGTTGGCAATCATAGTTACACAGCTTCGTGATTATCTACGGGGCCCAGTTTTAACACGAGGCAGGATTGCATTTTAAAAAACACACATTTATTTTATTTGCGAATGACACATATAACCAAAATTGCTTATTGCCTTACACAGTTTTGGTTAACATAATACAGAGTACCAAATATCAACAAAAAAGGATAGATTAGTGCCTTGCAGTCGTGCGTTTAATTTGCATGGGATACATACATAGTCTATTGAAACTAAAATACATAACATGTAGATTAAGTAACAAGGTGCCATTTATAAAATTCATCTTTCTGCATATTTGATGTGCGAGACATGTACCATATTTGACTTATTTTCTTAATGTGCTCGTGTAGGTTGCAAGATGGGACATCTTGAAGCATTTAAAACACGATAAAACGATAAGTCTGAGTAAAATTTCTCTATTGACAAGTCTGCATGTGGTAGATGGGTTTAACGCAAATGGAAACTTCAGAAACTTCTTGGAACTTTTCTGATCGTGTTAACACTATGTAGAGAACAGAATTCA